TATCTAATTTTTTTTTTTTAAAAAAAATAAAATAGGTTCTCTGCATCTGCACATAGCTTATTTGTTGTCCTATTTATTGATGCCTTGGATTATTTAACTAGTGAGTAGAAGATGCATTTATATTTAATTAATGTGTTAATTTTGAAAGGCAAAGTTGTCTTTTACATTTAGGCATTGAGTAATGAACAGATCATATGAGGATTAGATCTTATCAACCCCTATCCAATATATCTTATCCTTTTGATCTCAATGTGTGAATGCCCCAACTTGGTTGGTAACCAATGGAAACAGTCAAAATAATGTTTAGTATTGTACATGTGATGTGTTGACTTTGAATACATTTAACATCTTTCTGACCAAACTCAGACACCCAAGTTTGAGAACATATCCTTGTAAACTAACAAAATCAGCTACAACTTCTTGAATTGTACTCTTAACTATACAAAATATTCCAGTTATCTAAAAATTTGCAGATTAACTCTGCTTTTGCATTCAAGGACCTGATCTTATAAATTCATAACCCTTCTCTCTTCTTGAAGGAGTAAAATAACCCTTTTCTTTAATTGCTAACATTCATATCGATATCCTTGCCGTCGACTTTGACCAAATATACGTTGAGATTCAAACTTCAGTTATTATAAACCCAAAATCAACATTCAACTTACGTGCCGCCACACATTTTCCTACTCCCTCAAAGCTATAAAAACACAACATACCAATCCACATTTCCATCCCTGCAAACAAAGCACACTTAACCGAAAAAAATATAAAAATGAAGAAAGCTCATCTTCTTCTCACCTTCACTCTCTTCTCCATCTGGAAACTCTGCCCAGCCTCCGAACAACCCTCCCCAGTGCTCGACATCAGGGGCAATGTGGTCCGAGCAGGGGTTGACTACTACATTTTACCGGTCATACGTGGAATGGGTGGCGGGCTCACGGTGGGGTCCACCGGAAACCGGACTTGCCCGTTTAACGTCGTCCAAGAACAGCTGGAAGTGGACGATGGCCTCCCGTTGACTTTCCACCCGGTCGACCCCAAGAGAGGCGTGGTCCGCGTGTCGACAGACCACAACATCGAGTTTTCTGGTATGTCGATTTGCGTTCAGTCGTTGGTGTGGACTCTAGAGAGAGAAGAGTCGAGCGAACAGTATTTGATCTCGACAGGTGGGCTCAAGGGAAATCCGGGACGTGAAACTGTTAGCAACTGGTTCAAGATCGAGGAATACGAGGGTGATTACAAGCTCGTTTTTTGCCCGACGGTGTGTAATTACTGCAAAGTTGTCTGCAAAGATGTTGGGGTTTTTGTGGAGGATGGGCAAAGAGTTTTAGCTTTGACAGATAATGCTCCCTTCAGGGTTATGTTCAAGAAAGCTTGAACTTGATGATGATCAAAGTCTTATCTCAATTGGGTGTAGATTAAATATCATATGTAGTTTGGTACTATGAATAAAGCAGCTGATTGGTGGGTTTGATCTTTGCTTTTATAATGTTAAGAAGTTGAAGAATTTGCATTCGCACTATGATAAAAAATAATGAAGTTCAGTAATTAATTATGAAGTAAACATAAAGGAAATTGCGTAAAGATGATTTCTTTTCTTTGATTTTTGTTTTCTTGGCAATCAGCACTTGGTTTCTGGATCCTCTATATTTTGTTCATCTTCTTGTTATCTAGCGAGAGAATCATCTTTACTTGTCCATTTATCTTTCTACTTCAAGTAGGAAGGAAAGGATTTCATATCTATGAACTACGTTGTCAACCATTCAAGTTAAATGTAAATCTAAAGAATGATGTATTATGTTCGCCTATATTTTTAAAGCTCGACCGCAAGTGTACGGCTTCGCTCGTAGTATATGGCAAACAAGGTCGTATCCCAAGAGACCAAATAATCAATATATCAAATACTAGATTATGATAGTGTCAACTTTATTTAGACGACCGAATATGAGATCAATTAACTAAACTAAGAAATAAATCAAAGCAAATAAAGCAAAAATAAAGCACTAGCTAGAAAAAACACGTAATAAAATATATGAGAATGATAGATTCTAAGACGTTAGGTTCAATTAATAGTTAGGATTCCTTCAAAAATATCACAAATGTTTTCTTTATCTACCCTATAAGACGATCACAAATTTAGTA